GATTACCTGGTACTGGTAAACTGCTTATGCTAAATTATTCATTACCTAATGCTAGTAAACTACCTATGCTAAATTATCCAATACCTTGTACTACCGGGTATTAAATTACTTGTGCTAAATTATTCATCACCTGGTACTAGTAAACTACTTATGCTAAATTATTCATAACCTAGTACTAGTTAAATACTTATACTAAATTATTCATTACCTGGCACTAATTAAATACTTATACTAAATTATTCATTACCTTGTACTAGTAAATTACTTGTGCTAAATTATTTATTACCTGATACTAGTAAATTACTTATGCTGAATTATTCATTACCTTGTACTAGTAAATTACTTGTGCTAAATTATTTATTACCTGGTACTAGTAAACTACAAAGTTAAACTATTCGATACCTTTTACTATTAAATTACTCTTGCTAAATTATTCATTACCTTTTGCTATTAAATTGCTTGTGCTAAATTATTTATTACCTGGTACTAGTAAACTACTTATGCTAAATTATTCATAACCTGGTACTAGTAAACTACTTATGCTAAATTATTCATTACCAGGTACTAGTAAATTACTTATGCTAAATGATCTTAATGCTAGTATAACTACTTATGCTAAATTATTCATTACCTGGTGCTCGTAAACTACTTATGCTAAATTATTCATTACCTGGTACTAGTAAATTACTTATGCTAAATGATCTTAATGATAGTAAATTACTTATGTTAAATTATTCATTACCTTGTACTAGTAAACTACCTATGCTAAATTATCCAATACCTTGTACTATTAAATTACTTATGCTAAATTATTCATTACCTTGTACTATTAAATTACTTATATTAAATTATCCAATACCTTGTACTATTAAACTACTTATGCTAAATTATTCATTACCTGGTACTAGTAAACTACCTATGCTAAATTATCCAATACCTTGTACTATTAAATTACTTATGCTAAATTATTCATTACCTTGTACTATTAAATTACTTATACTAAATTATCCAATACCTTGTACTATTAAATTGCTTGTGCTAAATTATTCATTACCTGGTACTATTAAATTACTTATGCTAAATTATTCATTACCTTGTACTATTAAATTACTTATGCTAAATTATTCATTACCTGGTACTAGTAAATTACTTATGCTAAATTATTTATTACCTGGTTCTAGTAAACTACTTATGCTAAATTATTCATCATCCACTTACCTATTCTCGTGAAATAAATGTTAAAAGTATTACGTACTCCAGACCGTATCGATGGACTGACTGAGAAATATAAGACATTATAAAAAATAAATATTTGAGGCGTAAAGGAATTGCGGATAATTATAGCAAACTTAGAAAATACACGAAATTGAAATAAGCTATTGTGAATTTCATTCATATATATTAGTCAAAGGCTGATTTACTGTCAAGAATCATTAAACGCGTTGTAATTGGTTTAGTTGTTCTCAACCGTCCTTTAATTTATGTAAATCAAATGCCTGCTTTCTTGAACTTCACAGTATTGTGTAAAAACTTGAGCCTTGTCTGACTAATGGGCAATAACAACATTTATAAATACCTATTCAGTCATAGAAAGAAGACACACTATACCTACCTAAGACACTGTTAAAATAGTATATGTAAAGCAAAAAACGAGAAGCGCGCGGGGGGTGAACTCGCCCCCAAAGTCTGGACCGCGTTCACTGTACAAAAACAAAACAAAAACGCGACTATGACGGAGAGAGGGAGCACATACCCACATACTGTTTATCTCATACCAAACATGCCCGGTCCCGTGCCTGGCTGACATAAGGCGGCATTTTCAAAATATAAATGCGAATATTTGCACTAAAAATCACGCAGTGCTTATCAGGGGAACAACCATTGCTGACTACGTCGAATAGTCGTTTCGTTCCGCTCAGGTGTTACTGGTGACAAATAATAGTTTAAGAATTTTGAAAAATAGATGCATTTATCATAAATAACTGTTACCTAGAAAACCTTAATTTATCGGGGTGTGTTGTATCACTCATCCAGGAATAAAACCAAATGTCACCTCTGTTTTCACTGATCCTATAATAGAGCTTACCAAAAGGTGTGCGAGGCACTCGGGGTTATAATATCTTGTTTACACCGTAATGAATAATGAAAGTTCATCTTTAGTTGAAATAATAAAGTATAGAAAAGTAGAATACAAGACAATAAAGACAACAAATCTATAAAAAAAGTACTATGTTTACTAAATGAAGTTTTTAATTAATGAACTACCTGCCTGACCATGTCTTGAGTGTTCATTATTGTAATAAGCTTGTTTGTCTTAGAAAGGAATTGAAAATCCAGAATTTGTTTCTAGAAATAGCTATACATTTTTGCACGTTATTTGTTGTAATTGTCACAGGTTGTAATAAAATGAATTTCATCTTCTACAACATTGCACGTATGTCTTAACAATGATATGTCTATTTTACCACGAGAACTAGTGTGTATGTGCTTGTGTTCAGTTTACTATCATTTATGTATTCACTACCTGATTTTATACCAAATAAAATTCAACGCTGGTTGTTTATATAAACAGAAACATTGTTACACCATTATAAACAACGCGCACACTGAATCGGAGAAACAATTATAATAGTATTGCTTTGCACTCACTGTAAACATTGTGATTTCGCTCCGCCGGTGTTGCCGGTAGTATTTATTTTATTTAGAATGTACATAAACAAAAGTAAGATCATGTCCAAGAAAAGCGTTAGACATCACCAAAACAGATCTATATGTATATTTATTTTATTTTAAATATATATTTTAAATATTAACTTTGTTAACTAAGTATGTGGTGTATATTATTACTGTATTTTGTTAAGAATACCACTAATTATTTTCACGGGACGTAAATTCAATTATACAAGTAGATATTTCGGATGAAATAGAAACGCGATAATCTTAAAGCGCGGTGGTCGTCGCGCAGCGCGTGTTCGAATTTCATGTAAATAAACAATGTATTTTATACGCGTTGTATACGTCGCTATGAGTCCCAAATCGAACAGGACGCGGCACGACGACTGCCGCCCTTTAATATTGCGTTATGAACTTGCGAATGACTCAAAATCGACCGTGATGAGGGCGCTGTGCAAGGTCAAAGGCCAAAATGCCGGCCGGCGAAAACACGTGTATAAGTACATATTTTTCTTTCATGTCTATAATAACGATATTTATATTCAATATGGGTTCAGTAGGTAAAAACCTCGAGTGTGAATTCGTATGGTTTTAGAAAAATGCTCTTTCGAAGTATTCTATTTCAATCTCAAGGCCAGGGGTCGTGTCAATCACATTACCACACTATTAAATGGCTGTGGGTACGCCAAAACGTCACAAATATATCCGATAACAAGTCAATTGACAAGACTTTTGTTATGGCTTCACGTCATTATAAAATAAGTGTCGATAAGTTGGCATGAATCACTTCGCTCTACTGTTGTGTTCTGCGTTGACAACAAACATGGCTGTCAATACTGCGTAACGACTGTATTATTCTTGTAACACACGTCAAGGGTGTTCGATGTAACGTTTACTACCTGATATTTAATTATTCATTTTTAGACAACTTGTAATATTCAATTTAAAGTATTTGCTCAATATACTCAGAATTGGAGTGTTATACAAAGCTTACATTTGCTGTAAGGTAGCGTGGCCGAGCGGTCTAAGGCGCTGGTTTTAGGCACCAGTCATTTCGATGGCGTGGGTTCGAATCCCACCGCTGCCAGTATTTTTTTTGGATTTCTCCACGTTTATTGATGTCATTAGACGATTAATGTTAACGTTGATATAAAAACAGCATAGACTAAAGTCTTTTAATCTTTAAAAAATATTTGACAAAAGTCCTTGACAAAAGTATATACATGAATTATATATTGTAGTCATTCCATACATTTCAAAGAGTCTGCTATACTATGTAGACAATAATATTTCCGTCTCTGCTTCTAAATTTTAATTCTGTAATTATTGCTTTATGTTAATTTGAGTATTCTCTCTTTACGGGACTCTAATAGAATAACTTTAAATGCGGTAAACTGAATTAGTTGCCAACAAATTAACTTAAGATGGGGGTGTTATGAAATTTTTGTAAGAATTGTGAGTCTGTTATTTCATTCTAAACCAATATATATAGAGGAACACATCGAACAGTCATGTGTTAAAATTAATCGCTGATCATTATCTATAAGACTAATCCCCGTGGTTTCCAGTATTTCTGACTGGATTTCACGGGAGATACTAGGTGAAACTAAGTCCATGTAAATGTGTTCCGACTATATAAACGTTTTTTAAATATTTACGGAGAAGTATTTCCAGTTTACTAATGGTTAACATCTTCTTCTCTGACAAAGCATTGAACTTCAAAACTCAGACACCTTCACATATGGCTGTCTCGGTATCGTGTTCTTGTACTCCAGTACATTTGAACCATGTGACAGTGACGTAGTAAACAGGGTTGCGGAGATAATTACATTCATTATTCAAATGT